ACAGCTGTGAGATGCAGCGGCGATGACGTTGCTAATCCTCAGCGCTAACGCTGCTTGGTACATTTATGGCATTAGATTGGGATATTTTAACATTAGTTAAGATACATAAGATATGTTAATGTAAGCAAATTTCCCCTGTCGCCGAACAGCTGTTATTGGCAAAGACGTTGCTGATCCTCACATTTAGGCCCAACTGGTACTTTTGCGATTTGTGGGACATTTAGCTCAACAACAGACGTTAGGCCGGGATATTTAGCACAGTTGAACATTAAGAAAGGGAATTGGATTTGAACATAAACAACATAAGGAACATTTTTGCTGGATCGCTTAAAAGACATTTGCAATAATAAATATTTTGAGAGGGCAGCAGGGAAATTTTCTGCATAACTTGACCGGGACAACTTAACATCAAAGGCATAACACACATACAAAGGTACATTGAATTGGGAATTTTTAACATTATAAGACAATTACCCATGCTGGCCATCAGCTGTGAGATGCTGCGGCGATGACGCAGCACCCGCATATTCTGCAGATCTGACGTCAGCGCCGCTTGCCTCGCGTCCTGCAGCTGCTGCCCCTCGGCTTTTATGGCCCCTCCTGCTGGGACATTTGGTACATTTAGCTGGGACATTGTTGCTGTTGTTGTTGCTATATGTATATAATTATTTGGTATTTTTGGTTTGCAATTTTTGGCGTGATTTGTTGTTGTTGTTGATATTGACGAAAATTCATTTTGTTTTCTTTGATTCTTTAATTTGCATTACGAACTTTTCGTTGCGCTTGCATTCTTGTTGTTCACGTTCGCATTACAGTAGCTAATTAAACAACAAATGAACATTTAATTAATAAACTTTTAATGAACTCAACAATGTCTTAAAACAAATCGGCTCATGGTAAAATAGTTGAAAATATATGAAATTGTTCATGTTCATATGTATATATGATTTTAATTACTTTTTTTTTTTAAATTATTTATTAATTTGTCACGTTCTGTTTGCAATTGTTTATTTATTTTTTTTGGGGGGGCTGCTGCAAAATTTTAGCATTGTGTGAATTATTTAATTTTATTTATTTTTTTGATTTATTTATTTAAACTTTTAACTCGTTTTTAATTATTCACTCAAAGTTGAAATCAAAAATTTTTAACTTTTGTTTATTTGTTAATAAAATGAACACTTTTGTAAACAATACAAATTTTGCTACAATATTTTTGGACTAAAATGAAAATTATTATATATTTTATAATGAAAAAAAAACATTTGCAGCTGATTTATTGAGCTCATAAAAGTTTACAAAACAACAAATTTTTGGCACAAAAGAAAATTTGGAAATAGCGCACAAAACTATTAACAAATACAACAACAATTAAAACAAGTGCGCGATGTGTGTAAATATTCATGTTGTTGTTTTTTTTTTTTTGTGTATTTTTTTTTTTTTTTTTGCCACACTTTACACACGAAAAGAAAATGTTCGATACACGTAAATTGCATTGCTTCCATTTTGGGTTTATTTGCATATTTTGTATCTTTCAGATAAACGCACGCATCTGATGCACAATTCCGCTAAACAGAGCCAAGTCTTATATTGGGAAATAAACACGTCTGCATCTCGCGTGCGCTGATAACACGAAATATTCCCATTGTTTACTATTCGCCAGCGACTAACGGAAGTTACAGCTTTCAAGAAACCGTTGGCAGTCGCTGCAAAAATGTAGCGCGCAGTCGCAGTCGCATTAAAAATAATAATAAAGAAGACAGAAAAAAAAAAGAAAGAAAGAAAGAAAGAAAAAAAAAACAACTGCTGCCACGCCGCTGTTCTCTTTCTGCTGCTGCTGCTGCTGCTTCTTTCTACCTGTGACAACAACAAGAACGGCAACCGAAGATAGCGCGCAGAAATGAAGACACCGCGCACACGCACACACACACACACACACACACTCGCAGACACAAGACGTGCCCCTTGCAGCCCGCTGCGCCGATCAACGATCGATTCGAGTTGCGAACGCGAGCGCGTAGCCAAAACGTTGCGTCAACGTTGCCGACACTTTGCTTAATAATAGTAACTAAAACCAGCGGCGGCGACCGCCGCGTTGGCCAAAGCTTTTTGTCTGAGTAGCACGTTAACCGGTTAACGTTAACCGTTTCAAGAGCGCACATAACCGCTCAGCAAGTGTCAGAGAGAGAGAGAGAGGGCGGTAAGGAGCGTGTGTGTGTGTGTGTGCGCGAGCTGATATTGGAGTTGCTGGCAAAAAGCAGAAAAAACAAGAATCGACAACAACAAATGTAAACAGCTGTTGGCAGCATTTTGCAAGTCACTGGAAGTGTGCGAGCTGGCTGTGCGTGCGAGCAGTACGACAATATGCCCATCAAAGCTCACAAAGCAGATTGGGCCTTAGGAGCTGCGCCTTTACAGCCCCACAAGGTTGCATTAACAGCGAGCAGCTAAAACAAGTTTCAACGTGCTTGTTGTTGTTGTTGTTGTTAAATGCAGCGCTGTAAAGCTCTTCGCAAGCTCAGCGCGGCTTCCAGTCCGGCGATCGTTGAGGGGAAATTTAAAGGGGAAATTTAATTGTATTGCCGCATGATTCATTTTCAACCAGTTTCCCGCGCTACTGCGATTGGGCAACATGTTGATAAGGCCGGCTCCTTATCTAATTGTATCTAATCTGAATAGTTTTGTTGTAATCACCATTCGTTATTCACATTTAATTCTACACGCAAAATAACAATTTGCTATCACAAATGAGGTGCGAAAAAAGGGCAAATTATAATTACATTTGTGATAAGATTACAAAAATAGCACAAATACATGAACATTTCGTCACGCCAAATTTTGCACATTTCAAAAAGCGCGCCAAATGATTAAGATTAACATTTAAATAATAATAAATAAATATGACAAAAAATAAATACAAATTTTAAAACAATGAAAATTAAAAATAAAATATTTTTTGGAATATAATTGAAATTAAAATAAGACAAAACTATTTATATAAAATTGTTGTAAAATATTTAAGTATTTATTAAGTTCCCTTGGCGGGGTTCGAGCTCGCAACTAGCACCAATAATTGAGTCTTAGTGAGAAAAAAAACTAATTTAAATAGTAGCATAGAAAACAATACAATCGCAATTGCAATGCTTTTGCAAAGTTCGAAGCTGACTCGCATAAATGTGTGTGTAAATGTATTCCGAAATTCCTGCAATTTGCACTGGTGCAGCAGACACGTGTTTCTTAACCGATCTACAGTATATCTTATTGTACCATAGAATATTTGTGTAGTCTTAAAAAGTCAGGAGGATACAGCTAAAATTTCACTTCTCTAGCTCTTATAGTTTCTAAGATCCTTGCGTTCGTACATACGGACTGGGCTGTTGATGCTGATTAAGATTATATATACTTTAGATGCTTCCTTGTACCTGCTACATACATTTGCACAAATACATTATACCCTTTTTACCCATTTGGGTTAAGGGTATAAAAATGACTTTAATCTTTAATGTTCAATTAAATACGAATTTTCATTCCTAAATAGTTTCACATGTGATTAACTATAGTTTTTTATTACTGCGAACCACTTCATTAAGTTAATTACCCAGAAATCACACTCTAAAAATCATTTGCTTGGGCTGTAAATGTGTATATATATATACATATAAAAATCTCTCTCTATATAGGTATATATATAGACTTTGCAGTCCGAAAGTTCACACAGGGTATTTTCGAATTCGAAAAGCTTTTAAGCATGTTTGTGCTGGACAAACACGTACATATGTACATATATTTACCAGTCGAAGTTCAGATAAGATAATAATCTATTGGGGGTTCTATTGTTATAGCTGTAATTCCCGATTGCAAACAGTTATTTTATTTGCATGTCCAAATCAGCGTTGATTTGGGTAACAATATGTCTTTTGTAATCTATTGTGATTTGTTGACAAATCCATTCACAGTTTTGTAACTCTGCTGCTTCATAAAATATTCACTATAACTAGCATTGCACGACGAGGAGATACCCTTTACGAATGCAGTTTGCCAATATGTAAGCCTAGTCGGAAAATTAATACATATTCAAAAATATATAAATTTGTTTATTTTCAGTTTGTTTTAAATTTAAATTTATATTAACCTGATAAAAAATAAGAAAACTTAAGACTTTTGTATTTTTTTTTTTTTTTGAAAACAATTCTAGAAATATATATAAAACTGAAATGTGCTCAAACTTAATATTAATATATATATATATATTTATTTATTTATAGGAAACTATTACATGGAATCCATTATGGCAGCTCGCTTTCTGCCGAGCATTATAAATAGAAATCCTATAAAAAATGCTGATTTACGATAAGAACAATTATTGACCTTCGTCAAATGAGTTTTCTTTTTAAATATGCCCTTTCGTTGGGCATAAAAATGATGAGTCAGTCAGCTGAAATGCTCAAAAGGTACACATATGTATATATACATATTTAAATATATACATTCTCGATCAGGCCGATAAATAATGTGTACATAATGTCAGAAAACATAAGGCCTCACATAACTAATGTAGTCAATTGCACCCTTTGATAAACAATTCACTTATTAACTTATTCTAAATAGTGTATAAAACAAGTCGAACTTATTTATAATTTAAAATAAAAGCTTTGCAAATAAGTTAAAAGTTACGGAAAATAAAAGTTTCCTGCGCATCAGATTTCCACTTTGGTGGATTGCCGAAAAGCGTGAAACACGAATACGTTGATATTATTTATTTAAGATATTTTAACCTGAGCTTAAAACGGATTGTTTGGGAAGGCTGAAAAAACGGTGAATCCGCCCGTCAATCAGTCAATCTTTTAATATGTAAGTCAATCAATCACCTATCAAGCTTTTAAGCTTTACCAATCGCCTTTCAATAGCAGGTCACAATATTTAAGAGCAAGTCGAGTTTTAAGAGAAATACTTAACATTAAAAGCACACAAAAGAACTGTAAAAGCATATGCGTTCCACTTACGTAAAGTTGTGACAAGACGAAGACGAAGAAGAAGAAATATCCACAAAATAAAAGCAGTTATTGGAATGGCCTTGGAACTGGTTGCTGCCTTTTGCTTGCTTTTGGTTTTTTCTCTTTTATTCCTTTATGCGCGGCTTTTATATATTTATGATTCACACAAATCGCTTGTGTTATAAGCCCAAACTAACACACATATAAGATTTGAGAGTGTGGCACTTTAATTGGATATATTCCTTCAAAATTGCTGGCAAGTGCAAATCAATTGGGGCGCAACGCCGAAGGCGCCAAATCAGCACGAAAATGCGTGAAAATACATTTTTGATTGCCAAATTGTTATGATGCCAAAACTAACACAAGCAAAGACACACACGAACGCACACACACACACACACACACATACAGAGAGACGCACGCGCTGTTGTTGGAAACAACAGTTGAAAACTTGTTGCTTTGTAGAGCGCAGTCGCCGCGGCCGCCACAACCGTTGCCGTCAAATTTGTAACTGACAAACAAAATAACAAAAACGTGCTGCCCGAAGCTGGCAGAACTGGAATTGCGCGCTGGAAGGGCAGCAGCAGCAGCCGCAGCAGACGGCCAACGACAAGAGAGACAGAGAGGGAGCGAGAGAGGGCGAAATCAATTTAAGCAAGAGCATTATAACCTCTGTCTACATTTCACTTTTCTTGATTGCATTAATTATTGTTAGTCAAGCATTTACTTAGTGTGCAGTTTAATTCAAGCTTTGACATTTCTTATCTCTCGCAACATTACGGCACTGCGCGAGCTTTTCGCCTGGAAGTGAGCGGCAAGAGAGCGTGAGAGATCGTGAGAGAGCGCAAGCAAATGGCGATCAAACAGCTGAGTGTCTGACACCGTGGTGCGAAATAGCGTGTAAATCATTTAAGTTTACTGATTTTGTAGTTCTGTCCTAGAAGGCAAATTAATAATTGTTAAAGGTATAAATAGTATTAAATAGTCAATAGCATCAAATAGTAAATAGTATTAATATGAAAAGAATTTATGCTGGGGTGCACTGTAATTCACTATGAAAATAATGTTGTCATTTATACAATACTTTTAAATTAATATTAAAACTTCTGAATTGCCAAAAAATTATTTTTACAAAAATCGACACTATATCCTTATAATTTTCGTTGCAAACAATTTTTAAATATCGTAAATATATTCAATTAAATATCACTTGATTTAACAGAACCCACAAATTTGTTGCCAGTGCTGCCAATTTTTTTCTAATTAAGAAAAATGTGATAATTAGAATGAGACATTTTCTGAATAGAACATTTTTGTTATAAAAATATACAATATTTAATAAGCTGTCTTGAAGTAAATTGTTAAATTAATTATAATCAAATATGTAAAAATATATTATATTTCTTCTTCGATTTATGTCAAATTAAACAATGTGTTTTTTATTATAAATATCTAAGAAAATATATTATCTCTCTTACGTATAAGACATTTTCATTATATTTATAGTAAGAGAAGTTTTGATGAGATACATGGATGGGCTCCTACTTACCTCTATGTACGTATACCTAGGGTATATCTCAATTAAAAATCACTTCTGTTATCAAAAAATACAAAAAGTATCGCGATAAGTGTCACACTTGAAAAATTGCAATGATAAGCATATGAAATAAATAAATAAAAATAAATCTGTTTTATTATAAGGTGTTATTTCCAGTTGCTTTCTTCAATACAGGGTGCCTTTTTCAGTTTCCAAACAAACCAAACAAGAATAAGGTTTCTTTTTTTGCTTCATATTATATGATGTTTATTTTATAGTATTTTTTTTTTTGTTTCTTCTTTTCCTTTTGTTATAGCTTTATAAATTGTTTCATTTTCTCAGAAAAAATAATGTATTAATGCTCTAGACTATTAACTACATACATAAAGTATTATTTGTTGTTTTATTATTATAAACTGTTTAAGCATATATAATTATTTATAAATGTAGTAAAGTGTATTTTGTATGCTTTTTTGACATTTTTGAATTTTGAATGGGTTTTTTTTTTGTTGATTTTAATCTTTTGCTTTTTTAATTTTTTGTATTTATTTTTATATATTTATTTTTACATCGATCCCTTGCAGCGTTTTCCAAATACGTTAATCAAAAATAGTTGCATTTTATACGGTTTGTTTTTCCAGTTAATTTTCACACACATATACATATATATATATACGTATAATCTATATATATATATATAGCACAATTAATTTGCTTATAAAGCTACGGCATATAGGGTATGTGTTTGTGTATATTGCTTAACGAATTTACATTAAAAACTTAAATTTAGATTTGAACAGCTAACAAGAGAATTTTTAAAAGAAAATAGATATATATATATATATATATATATTTGAAAATAATATAAAATTGCATTGGAAAGCAAATTACAATTTTAGTTAATATATAATTACTATACGAAGGCTATGGTAAATGTTTATATATAATATATATATATATATATATTTGTATTTTATGCACTTCCATTAAATTACAATATATAAAAAATATATATATTTATATATATATGTATTTATATGCAAGTTCATATTACAGAAAATCATAAGCGTCTCGTTTGCGTTTACATTGATCTAAACAGATGCGTTGCAATTGTTGATTGGATTTGGCAGATATGTACATACACATATAAATGTTGCATATATATATATATATATATTTAAAAAATATATATAAAATACATATATAGATATTAAATATATATATAAATTAATTGTATGCCATATACATATATTTAAAATCAAATGAACCAGCGCAACATATCGTTAACTTATTTGTTGTTTTCATTTTTGAATATTTTCTGTTTTAGTTTATAAATTTTTGTTAATATAATTTGTTTGAATTTTTGCATTTTGACACAATTGGTTTCAATTTTGCCCACCGTCCGTCCGTCCGTCCGTCCGTCCACTCTAGGCATCCGAGAGATCACAGTAAGCGGCGCCGCTGCCAGCAGCCAACGTCTTCTGCTCATCGTCCATGAGTGCGTCGACAAATTCGGCGCTCGCCTCGTGATGATTCACCTGCGGCGATGAGCTGCTCTCGCCACAATTTGTGGCATACACATGCCGCCTGCTGCCGCCGGGCAACTGATTCGAGTCCTCCGTATCTGCGTCGCGTATGGAATTGAAGGCGTTGCATGCATTCGCATTCGGTGAACAGGTGTCATCATTCGGCGGATACACGTGCCGATGATAGCTGCCACCGCCGCTGCCGCCGCCACCGATGCTCCCATCGCCATCCAGTTCGGCATCCCGCACGCTTCCAAAGACGGGCGTATGCGAGGAGCTCTTACGCAGCGATGCCGGCGGCGACCAAACGGTCTGATACAGCGGCGAGGCGAACACGTACATATGATTGAGATACTCCATGTCGTAGCTGGGCTGGTAGGAGTCCGTCTCTAGCGGATTGTACGTATGCTGATACATTGGGGTCTGGCGGCAGCTGGCCGAGCCGGAGGCGCTGCCCGCATAATGCGGCGTATCGTAGTTCTGTGAACGCGTCGAGCTGCTCAATAGATGCAGTTGGGCGTGGCCGCCGTGGCTGCCGCCTGCACTGCTGCTGCCGCCACCCGTTCGATGGGCGGGCAATGTGGCGTAGATGCCGCGATATGCCTCGTACGGTGTCTGCGGATAATACGCATCGCTCCAGCGCACATGATTCGGCGTATAGTCGCCTTTGGCGTACAACTGCAAATGAAGAAAATGGAAAATCAAGTAAGTGGAAATTGCACAGAGAGGCGAGGATGAGAAGCTCGCAGAACAGACATATCTAAACGTATCGTGTGACTATGAAAATCGCATAGAGAGGCGATATTTAAAAGCTATTTGAAAAAGCATCACCTGAGGCTACGAAAATCGCAAAAAGCATAAATCTATTTGATAAAGAGAGTTCGAGTGGGAGAATCTTGTAGAACAAACACGTCGACAGCACCTGAGGCTATGAAAATCGCATAGAGAGGCGATACGTTAAAGCTATTTGAAAGGAACGGAAAAGGACAGACTCATGTAGATAATATATTAATATAGATTGTATTTTCTTGCAAATACACTTCACAAAAATGCACTGTATTTTGTATTTTCTTAAAGCTTAATGGCAATTGGCCTATTGAAAGCATTGAACAAATATATTAAGACTTTGGACACAATCTTAAAGCTAACGAAAGTTAAACAAGAGACTCGTAAGCTTCAAAAAGAGTTGGACAGAGCTCTTGCCACCGGGCACACTTGAGGGTAAACTTGTTATAATATCTAACATAATTTCGATCATAAGCTCCTGAATACTTTTGAGCATATAAAGCGCACACCATACAACTATACAAATACTTATTTCATACAATTATTTTACAGCTTTCTAAATAGATTATCTTAATTGTTTTCTCACCTGTATGGGTCGACAGAATCCCTTGTTCATATGACGTGGCACGCCCAGTGTATAGCTGTGACTGAATCCGACCTCTGAGCTGAGCAGATACTCGTGAAATTTGTTGGGAAAGAATTCGATTTGTTTATAATTATTGTAGATTTCCGGCTGCAAAGGCAAATTTCAAGTTAGTGTTAAACAGTAGAAAGTATAATATTTACTAAAAACTTACCGTCAGGTTCTTCTTCTTTTTGTAGCTAGCCCAGTTCTGTGCCTCGAGTATGAGCTTGCCGCCGGGTCGCAGCTGATTGAAGATGCGCTTAAAGGCCAACTTGAGGCCGGCGTCACCGAAATTGAGATGCATCCACTTGGTGACCGAGAGACACAATATGAGATCGTATTGCTGTGTGTCATTGGACATGAGGGACTCATCCTTAAGCACATAGTTCGTTTGGCGAAAGAATACGTTTTGCGGAAATTGATTTTTACAGCCGGCAGCGAACGTTGCCGGCGATTTGCCTGTGGCCGGCAGGTGGGGTATACCGCCATAGGTGAGCGGAAAAGAGATGGGAAAGAATTCGTGCGGCTTGACCAGCAGTGCATCCAGTTTCTGTTGCTGCTGCAAATCCAAATGATTATGCTGATGCTGATGATGATGATGATGGTGATGATGATGATGATGATTATGGTGATGATGATGATGTGGATGATGTGGATGATGTGGATGATGTGGATGATGGCCATGTGCATGCAGCTGCTGCAGTGCCAGCTGCTGCTGCTGCTGTTGAGCCTTGCGTCGCTTCTTGCCGCGTCGCGTCTTCTTGTGCGCATTGGCATCGCTCGGCTCCAGTTTTTCCGGCACGGATTGTGCCTGTGCTTGCACGCCCGCTTCCTGTTTAATCTCCGGCGCCAGTAGCTCCTCCTTGGGTATGCGCACGAATATGGAAAGATTTCGTCGCGCTCGTGCAATTAGCTCGCGATCAATGTCAATGCCCAGTATGCTTTTGGGTGCCAAGTGGCGCGCCACGGTGATGGTCATGTGACCCACATTGCAGCCAATGTCGAGTATGTCCTTGTTCTGGAAGAGCTCAACGTGCCGCTCGAACACCTGCAGACGCACATCCCGAAATTCGTTGAGCTGCCGAAAATCCACATAACGATCGAAGTTGCCATAGCGATATTTGAGCCCATCCGCCCGAAACTTGGGCGTCTTGTGCAGTGGCGGAATCAAAGCTGGTTCCAGCATCAGGCCCACGACTGGCTGTGCCGCTGCCGCTGCTGCTGCTGCTGCTGCTGCTGTTGTTGCTGTTGCTGCTGCTGCCGGCTCATCCGCGGCAAGTGCATCCGGCTCGCCGGCCGTGTGCGAAGTGGCCGCGGAAATGGTGCTCAGCGGACTGCCCAGGCCGTGCTCCGATAGATCAGGCGTGTCATCACGCGGTATCTCCACCACTGTAAGGTGGAGGGAATTGAGTTGTAAGGGACGTTCGCTTTGAAGTTGTTGCATTTGTAGACTTACCCTCGATAAGCGGCTTGGGCGGCAGCTCCTCGACGGGACTCAGCTGCTCCGTTTCGCTAAATGACGTTGAACGTCGCGTGTTGGGCTTGCGTGCCCCACTTGGCTGCAGCAGACGCGGCGGCCGCTTCCAGGCGCCCGGCTGTGGCACCACCGGGCTAACAATTTTATCCATGGCATCGTGACGATGGAATTTCTAAAAGGTTTCGGACCTCGTTTAGTATGAGCAAATATGTTTCAAGATAAATGGAATCGGGGTCGAGCTTTGCTCAAACCCGAGCATCAATTATTTACGCTTTCACTTGCATACTTAAAGTAAACCCTCCAGTCTCGACAGTGGTCCTTCGCTATAAGGAACACTTTGCTTTAGTAGTTTTGTAAAGTACTATACAATCTGGATGCTCTTTTTTCTGAATATACTTTTCACAAGCAAGATTTTAAGCCTACATTTTCTTACTTTTAATAGCGATTTCTCAGTCTTTTAGTTCAACATTTAAACCACAAAATAAACAATTTTATTAACATCCTGAATAAATCCAATGAACGTAACATTTTCCCTTTTAGTTGCTCTCACGCATCAAATCCTATCTATAAAATTTGAATATTTTAATTAAACATTTTTAATATTTACCATAAACAACTATTAAAATGATTGGCAACAACAAACACACACACACTCACACACACGTTAGAAACAGCTTCGCTGAATTTGTAATCGCTTTTGGCTACCCTTAGAAAGTTCTTTCATTGCCGCCCCTGACCCCTTAACCTCAATCTAAGCAACGCTTGAACAAGCAACAAAACAACAACAAAACTCTCAAATAAAAACAGCCAAAAGCAATCAAAACAAAGCAAGCGATTGACTTGCGACTTGCTTCCCCACAACAACATTTAATGCACAAGCTCACGGAGACACACACACACACACACACACACACGCACTTGGTCGAGAGCCCATTTCAATTCCATTTCGTACCCACCTTGCTCTTTTGCGAATTGTTGCTCTCGCTTATTTTACGTTTCCTGCTGCCGCTGCCAAAGCTGGCTGCGCTGCCAGCGCCAAAGCTCAGACCCGTGCCGCCTACACCGTAGCACGTGCTGTCCAAATCCAAGCGCAAATCACGACTGGCCAGCGCACGACGATCGGCCAGCGTAGACGCCACAGCCAGCGCCGCTGCTGACGTCGAAGCGGCTGTTACCGCGCCTAGGCCCAAATCGACTGAGCTGCTGCTGCTGCTGCCGTCGCCAGGCACTGTTAGCGTGTTGCTGTTGTCGCTGCTCAGCGGCTCGGCAATTACGGCCACATGTTGCTGCTGTTGCTGCTGCTGCTGCTGCTGCTGCTGTTGTTGTGACTGTAATGGTGATGACGTTAACGCCGCTGCCGGCCGCACCACGTTACATTCCATTTGTTCCAGTGGGGAGAGCGTTTGTGCGCCGGCTGCTAACGCTGGCGTTGTTGTCTCCTCCACGGCGGTGGCCGCTGCCTGCGGCGAGCGAGAGCGCACATGCGCCTGCTGTTGTGCCAATTCCGTTGTTTCAACTGAAGCCGACGCTGCCGCCTCGCTCAGCAGCGTTGTGGCGCTCAGTGCAGCTACAGGCGACGTCGCCGCTGTTGTTGTTATCAATGCAGCTTCACTAGCTGCCGCTGCTATTGCTATTGTTGTTGCTGCTGCGCCGCCGACGGCTCCGACTACAACAGTAGCGTCTGCAGCTGCTGCTGCGGCTGGCGCATCTTCCAGTGAAATCGAAAGCGTCGACGCCTCCGCAACGCCCTCAGCGACTGCAACGTCGTCGCTTGCATACGATGTGTTGTTGGAATCGAAACGCCGCCGTTTGCGATTTTTGCGCGCCCTGTGCTGCCGATGATGCGGCTGCTGCTGCTGCTGCAGCTTCAAGTGGCTGCCACGCGTCAACATGCCGCCCCGCTTCATGGGTGACGTCAGCTGCTTCTCATATTCCATCGAATCGACCGGATCGAGCAGATGCAGCGGATCGTGTATATTCGGCGGTATAATCACCTCCACTTTCGGCGGCGTCGTTATCGGCGACTGACGCGGCGTCGTCGCTGGCGTATTATTGCTCGACGAAGCATTCGACGTGTTCTCGTGCTGCAGCGAATTGAGATTGAGCGGATCCGAGATGTTGCCGCCGAGCAAAAATTTCGTTGGCGGCACAATCACCTCCTTGCGCAAACGTTTCTCAGACAAAAAGAACTTGGAGCGTCCGCAGCAATAGTGCACGGCATTGGCAGCCGCCGCCGCCGCAGCTGCAGCGCTGCCCGATATGATGCTGCTGTTGCCGCTCAGCGAGCTGGTGTCCTTATTGCTTTGCGTATCCTTGCCGGCGGCGCCGACGCTTCCATTGCAGCCAGTGACAAGGCAGCACGTGTGATTCGCATTGTTGCCGGCGCACAGCACGTGATGATGATGACCTCTGCGTTTGTAAGAAAGAGATAGATAGAGTTAGATAACAATATTATAACTGTAAACTTTACATAAAAGTCCCCAAAGCGACAATTTGCAGTTAGAGAATGCTTAAAAACCAATATACGTTTCAAAAGTGTTGATATTTAAATAAATATATGGTTCGATATTTTCTATATTATTTAAAAATAATGTTACGTTACGCTTACGTCACGTTACGTGATGTAAACCTAACAAAGTTACGTTTCATTAAGTAACGTATCAACTAAAACATGTTAACATATTATATGATTGACGTAGTTAGTTACGTAACATAACATAACGTTACGTTCTCTTCCAATAAATTATTGTTTCTTACGTAATGTTAAATTGTTGTACCAAATGTTAAAGAAGAGTTCAAAGTTTTAAATATTTTAAGTTACGTGACAGAGCGTAGCATTATATCTATTACGTTACGTTTTGCTATATATTTTATCAAGTACAAGTACCTATGACACATTATATGAGACTTTACGTTTCGTAACATAAAATATCACAATACATAACGTTAAACGTAGCAGATCAATAAAGCGAATTAATTACGTTATATTAAACAAAGTCATGCCAATTATCGGTATGTTAGTAAATATAACATTGTTACGTTACAAAAAGTTACATTTCATTCCTCACACTACCTACCTTACATTATGAGACGTTCTTACGTCATAATACATAACAATACGTAGGGTTATATTTGTCGTAACGTTCAAGGACAAGCACCCTAAGGCAAAATTATGTAACGCAACAATGCATAATGTTAAATATGGCATAACAACCAAGAGAGTGAAAGAGTGTCATTACATTATTTTGCACGTAACATTAAATTACGTAATAGCATTTTTCTTAACGTCATGTTTAACTTATTTTATGAGACGTAATTTAGCATAGAATTACGTTAGCTGAGATTGGTTTACGTTACGTTACCTGTGTGTCAGCATCTTCTTGTACTGCTGCTGCTGGCCCTTCAGTCCGTGCCCGTGCCCCAACTTGGCGTCCATTGCGGCCATGGGCAGACCATTGCCCACTATCGCTGCCGCCGTCTGTGCGAGCCGCGTGTTGTGATTGTGATGATGATGACCACCGTTGCCGGCAGCGCTGCCAATGCCAGCAGCGCTACCGGCTACGCTGTGATGTGTGCCGACGCTGCCGCCGCCGCCGCCGCCATGATGGGCGCCGCTATGGGCGGGTCCGCTAGCTATTTGATTTTTGATATTCTGTATGTTCTCCAGATCCGCCTTGTGGGCGGCAGCTGCGGCCGCAGTTGCCGATGCGGCGGCAGTTGGCAGCGAACCGACGCCGGCGCCGGCAGCTGCTTGAGCAGCGACGCCGCTGCCATTGGCATGATGATGTGGGGGATACTGATGATGGTGATGATGATGATTATGATGCTGCTGCTGCGCGCTGGCGCCGACGCAGGCGCTGGCGTTGTATTTACCGCTCGTCTTGTGCTGCCGTTTACTCCAGGCTTTGCTGCCGCTGCCGTTGTTGTTGTTGTTATTGTTGTTGTTGTTGTTGTTGTTGTTGTTGTTGTTGCTGCTGCTGCCGCCGCTGCTGCTGCTCTTGTGCTTGGTTGGCTGCTGCTGTTGTGCGGGCGCACGAAACTGATGATGCGCCGGCGTCGGCGTCAACGTTGACGTCGACAGCGGCTGCTGCGGTGACTTGGCTTTAATTTGTTGCTGTTCATCGTTTAACTGTTGTTCCTGCTGCTGCTCCTGCTGCTGTGCTTGCTGCTGTTGCTGCTGCTGCTGCTGTTGCTGTTGACGCCTGGGGCTCTGCTGCAGCCGCAGCGTTGGCGTCATGCTTGATCTGGTTACGCGACACTCACTTGGACTGACGCTACTCGATTTATCCATTACTCTGTGACTTTTGCGTAAGTACAACTTTTTTTGCCCAGTCTTAGGCATTCATAAGAAAAAATACACTATATATACACTGTCGAAGTTTGTTAGGGTACTTTTGAATTCACTGTCATTTGCCTCGTTTTTTTCTACACACTTTCAACACTTTTTCTTAAACATTTCATGACGTCCGAACAGGGACATTTTAGTATTGATATGCACTTTATTTATTTTTTTCTTTCACTGTGGCGCCATCTGTTGTTGGAAGGGAAATATTAAGTTTAGTATATTGCTTTGTTCTTATTTATTTTTATATATAAGAAGCATAACAAGTAAATAAAAATCAAATAAAATGCGCGAATTAATTAAAATAAATAAATAAAAATTAAAAAGAAAAATGTAAGCACTTAGCTTCTCAAAAAATATTTAAATAAATATAAAATCTATATATTTAAATTTTTTCATTTTAAAGAAAACTCGTACTCATAATCAAATCTCTCACAAAATTAAGATGTTAAATTAGTTCACGCTTCCAAAATGTATATAAATAAATTTTGTACAACTCACTTTTAAAAATTCTTTGGAATTTCTTTAACATGTAGTAGTATAGATTTCACGTGAGTTTTGCATAAATTCTTGAAAAAGTCTCCCACATATTTCTCGAGAATTTCACACTTTTATTGGCTCAGCCCGCAACCTTGCCGGGATCTGAGATGATGGCACAGTGTCCGGCCTTAATGCAGACATCTTTGAATACGGCGTATTTGAACATATTATTGTAATTGCTTTTCTTGTTTTGCTTGTCACACTTTTTCTTTCCTTTTTTTTTTTTTAAGTTTTAAAACTCTCCTTTAGGTTTCATTAATCATACGACCCGTTGTGTTGAACTATGTTATCTTTTTTTCTTTCAATTCCTGTTGGCAACTTTTTACTTCCTCTGCACGTTCACACTTCCGTTTCCGTTTCGGTTTGTGTGTTGAGCTGCAAGAAACGAAATATAAAAAAAAATTAGAATGGCTAAAAATTAATTGAAAATTTAATTAGCGATAGTAGTTTAAGCGCAAAGCTCTCAACAAGCACACACACGAACACACGCACGCACACACACACACACACACACACACACAACCCGAAAACTTAATAGAAAAGTGCAAAGTTCTAAAGAACATTTTCCAGCACTATTTCTCGCCCCTATTTCTACTGCCGCCACACAACCGCCCCACCCAACCCCAACAAGCGCATTTGCTCTGCTGCTTTTCGCCTCAGACACACTTCAGCAATATTTTGCATTCATTATTTGCATAGTCAGCCACCAACGAACGAACCGCCCGAATGAACGAACCAGCGAACGAGCCCAGCAACGACACAAACGAGCTTTGAAAAATTGAGCACAGACGTTTTTCTGCATCAACCCGAACAACCCCCAACACCCGCCCATCACCACCCACAAGTGCTGCTATCCTACATAGCTACCAATCCAACTTAACTCAACCCATAGCTGGCCCCAAACGCCTTGGTTGGGCAAAGTGTATTTCAGTTTGTTAGAGATGGGTCACTTTGTGCCGCGTGTAGCTTATCGATATGTCGATATATCAATCTAACATCGATAGCATTACACTGAATAGTTATCTATACTTATTGTTTGTCCTAAAAACATGCACATATTTTCATCAAAACTACAAGAATTTCATGTTTCATTGTGCTAGAAGTGACTCACGCTGCGTCATATGTAGTTTATCGATATATCGATACAACAAATACTCAAATCATATTTTAAACTATTGCGCTTCATATCTTGTTCGTGGTAAGAATAAGCACATCTTTTACACTAAACACCTACAAGAAGTTCCATGTTTCTATTCTTTTAAACTGAGTATTTAAAATGTTGTATTCATATATTTTGTGTGTAACTAATCGATATATCGATACACAAACTTCTAGTACCAAAGCAAGTTGATTAAACAAATTGACATTTTCGTTGAATCTAAAACACAATCCTATTTTATTGATATTTTGCTTTAGTTTGAGTTTTTCTTAAATTATAATCGATATATCGATAGTTTCGTACTTTGTGCTATCGAAGCATAGAATGCATAGGATTATCAGAAATGCAACGAATTTAAAGTACATTTTTGAGTATTTTTTGTAACTTTTCAGTTTAAGTTAAAAGCTGCGACACAAACACGAACATACATAAATCACGCGCCCATCGCCAAGGCGTCTGTACGATGAGTGCATTAATATTTACACGGCAAATTGTGGCTGGCTGGCAGCACTCTTTTACCTATCCATTCGTGGCGGTTTTGTGGATTGCAGCCAAGCACGGGCAGAGGCAGTGGGGAACGGTAACGGCAACGGCAACAATTCCAAGACCGAACTACCCACAACAACACGCATCCCATTCACTAAAAAGCCACGAAAAACCTAACTGCAAATTCCAAACAGTCGAAAACAGATTTTCGCACAAATGCTAAAGGAAAATCGTAGCTCAGAGAGAGAGAGAGACAGCAAGAAGAAGCAGGGGGGCTGGTGGGCAAAAGTATCCCAAGTAAAGTTCTTTAGGTGCCCCAAAGTGGGGAGGCCCCCATACAGAACTATGCATAACTAAGTGTATTTTCTCTATTTAAATCATCCGCAACTTGAAGTATCTCAATCTGACAGCAGCTCAACGGTTGACGGCGAAAGCAATCTAACAATAAATTTATGCATTTTATATGAAAATTGTAAGAAATTCCACACTGAAAAATACTTGAGGGACATTTTTGTCAAATTGCATACAAGTGCAGAAATATGTTTATAATCTAGATAGAAAGCTGAACAGTACTTGAAGTCTTTTAACAATTTCAACAGGACCATTTGTAAAACATTTCTAAAAAGAGTTTCTATCAATGTTAAGTGACCATGGAGGACACGAAGCACAAAAGAAATTAACATAAATAATATAATTGGCTTATGATACAAGCTTGAAGGAGCGGCTTGAGAATTATGAAAAGGTAGGAATTCGTAAAGAACTTGTATTACTTTTCAGCTAAAGACGTTCTAATTGCAGATTAAGTGACCATGGAGTACGTGTGATAATGTAAAGGATGGGATGATATATAGAATGGCATGCTATAAGGGGCTTAAAGCATTCATATGTATGAAAAAGTATGAAGACATTTAAAATGTGATGATTGGGTGGATATACAGATACACATATACATATTTAAATTCAAGCAACCACGGAGGACATGTGATGCGATTATTGCGAAGAGGTGAGATCTTAAAGGGTTTCCAGCTGTTTCCTTAAGGAAATAGTTGTTATATAAGCAAACAAATAAATGAACTGAAGTAAGAATGTATGCTAAGACTATCTGCTTGCTAAATAGGAATAGTTGACATTACAAGAGGAAGAGAGAACTCCGAACAGAAAACTCTATAATGCTTGATCTAAATATTACAGACGACACGGAACGGTTCATGTAAGGTGCAATTAGTTGAACAGATAGAAAAGTTTAATTGGCTAGTAAGTCCAGAACATACGAATAAATATAACACACAGCATGGTTCTACGATTAATTAAAAAAAGGACGATTAATCATCATCATCAGGGCATACAACAAAAATTGTTTTTGAATAGATTCAATTCTGGCTTGATGAATAGAACATTGGCGATCAAATACATGGGTTATAAGCCTTACCAAAGTGACGACTATGAAATAAACTCAGGTTCAGTTAATTAGTTGCCAACTAAATGACCATGGAGGACATGTATTAAATATATATGTTTTGCATAAGAGTCTAAATCGAATTTGAATAAAATTGATAAATATTCAACAAAGTGACCATGGAGGAAACTTATCAAAGTACTTTCGTTTGACAGGACCGGGATAAATATATATGTATTTGGTAAGATAAGATACTAGACGAATATGATAAAGACAACAATTTGATAAGATACCTATTAAGTGACCATGGAGGACACGTATATAAATATATTACATAATATATGCGAATATTAAAAACAAACTAAAGCTTTATTAAATAGATTTTAAATATTTTTGTTCAGTTGCTAACTGGTTGACCATGGAGGACGTGTGCTTGACAAAATAAATATAATTATATTTCTTAAGTTATGTGAATATAAGCTCACGTTTTATTAAATCTTCGTTGAATAAAGTAAGCATGGAGGAAATGAAGTGCATATGACCTGCTTATATGAACAACTGAAGCATCTACGCATTTAACTCGATTTAAGCAGTTAAAATATTTTATTTTCGCCCTTCAACCAATAATGGAGAGGACGAGCAATAAACAACTTGGAGGTAATTTTCATTTAGTTACATAAATCCCAGGTGACCAGGAAGTACATTTCGCTGGAGGTAAAAGTAAAGTAAAGTAAAGTCAAGCTAGACAGAACCGTGAAGGATTAATATAAATACAGTAAAGCGCGTATATAAAGCTCTTAACCTCAATATGATAAACCCAAAAGAAAGCTGCTTGCTTCTTGGCCACTGCCCCGCCCTCGCACCACACCTCCCCCCCTTCCACCCAGCGACTCCCTGCAGTTCAAGTGAAGAGCTATCAAAAAATCAGACCAAGATTTTCGCCCTACACGTTGCCGCAGAAAACAAAGGCAATTTTTTATTTGCATATTTCGAGGCGCGCACAAAATGGCAATGGACGTTGGGTGGGGGGGATGGTGGGCGGTGCAACGCCATATGCGGCACGTTGTCGTGCCAAGAGTTTGCCGCTGGCAGCAGTTCCTCTCGCGCACAGACCCTAAATAAACCAGCGAAATGTGGGCCACAACAAAAAGCAATTGTTTAGGCACCAACGAAAGGGGGGCGGGTAATGAGAGAGCGAGAGCGTGAAGAGAGAGTACGGGAAGAATTGCGTGTGTCTGCCCGGTTTCCGTTCTACGTTTTACCAACTTCTTACTCTTATTTGTTTTTTTTTTTTTTTTTGCAGCTGGCCAACGGATATTGTCAATTTTGTTAATTTTGTAAACATTTTTAATGATGGCGACGTCGTGGTCGTCGTAGCCGTCGCCGTCGCCGCCATCGTCCTGTGCGACCAGAGAAAGTTGTTTTTTAGTTGGCCCAAATGTAATTTGCATGTAAATCAAATTAGTTCATTTGTCGCCAGCAGCCGCAACCCGCCCCCGCTTGAAGCACAGCGACTACAAGCTGCCACAAGTGGCAACTTGCTAAGCACTGTTCAAAAATCCCCTCAACAGAAATTATCATGATGATGATGATGATGATGTTGATGATGAAACTGTGGCTTCGGCTTAGTTGTAGGCATTGCCAAATTATCATTACAGATATCCTGTAAAGTCGTATAGACTCTGTTAAATTGGCGCTTCTATTGGCAATTTAGAAATTGCCACTTTCTAAATGCTCAATATTTTTGTGGCTAAATAAACTTTTCAATTCTTTAAAATATTTAAAGCAGTTTTAACAGCTGTTAATGCTAACATACTACTGTAACTAAAAGTGTGCCACATTACAGAAATGATGTAAAATCGAGTACAGACTGTTAATCCGACGCTGTAAATTGCAAAGTAGAAATTTATACTCTCTTTAACATTAGGTGCTCAATATATTTTTATCTCAAGCTGTCAGCTGTTACGGTTAACACACTTATGTAATAAAAAGCCAGCCCCAGCTGTTAGGCCCAACATTATAAATTATCAAAGCAGTTTTAAGAACGGTTGATTTTAACATACAACTATAAGAGTGTGCCAAGGGTTTACAATAATGTTGCAATTTCATATTTACAAGTATAAATGTTACTAAACATTTAAATGTTAAAGCGACTGTTAAACTTAACATGAATAATATATGTGAATAATAATGTGCCATATATTCTGAGCTTGGCATTAATGCAAACTTAATCTAAACGCTTCTTAAAATATTTATGTTATACTTTCAATTTCATAAGTTCACACAGACTTAGGGTATTAAGCTATTACTTATAATAAGCCAAAGTAAAAGCTG